TATTATAAAGGTATATATATATTATAATTTAATTATACATGTGTTATATAATAATTATTCTATTTAATTAAATAATATTTTAATAAATATAAGATCTGTTTTGTTATATTTGAACTAGTATACACTTTTTGTATTTAAAATGAAATCTAGGTATGTTTGTAATTATTTAATAAAAGCAAGAAAGAAAATTATAGTACAATCTGGTAAAATTATTAAAAAAAAACATCTCTATGGATAAATTATACTTAATTATAATAAATTTACCAGCATGAACAGCAGGATGAAGTGTTTTTACACGTCCACCAAGCATCTCAGGTGCTCCTGTAACTTCTGAAACATCTTGCACTGGTAACTTAGCATCTCTCAAAGCCTGTGCAGTACCACCGGAAGCAATTAGAGTTAATCCAAATTCATGTAATTTTTTTGCCAAAGGTAATAGATTGGTTTTGTCAGACACACTTAAAAGAGCTAAAAATTTCATAAAATTGATTAGCACTTCTGTCATAATTGTATTTAAAAATTACAATATGATAAAGATATAAATTGAAATATGAAAGATTAGAAAAAATATTTTAAATATAATTAATTGAAAAAATAATAATTGCAACAAATGTATAAACATGTAATCAGTATCTAAAAATTTATGTTTCTTTTGATTTTTTTCATTATATGTTTTTTTTGTTATATCAATTTATTATCGCCACTGTAATTTAGTTTAGATTTCTTTATTTTAATCTCTAAAATAAAATAACATATTTATATTTGTTCAATATATAGGAAATATATAACTAGACATATAATTTTACATTAATTAAAGTTTAAATATCACAAATACCAGCACAAAATAGTATAATATAAATTTTAATTTTACATTAATTATGTAGTTAGCAAAAATTAATCACTAATATTTCATACCAGCACAAAATAGTATAATATAAATTTTAATTTTACATTAATTATGTAGTTAGCAAAAATTAATCACTAATATTTCATTAAAAAGCAGTACAACAGAAATCTGGAATATATATGATCCAGATAGCATACTATCAATTAAAGATTAATCAGATCATTCTTTTATTTCTCTTAAGTTTCTTCTTAACTCTTTAAAATAACTCACCTAATTTGTTTGTCGGCATTTTTATATGTTAGATCTAGACAAGACTAGTAAAACTGCAAACAGGTGTTTGTTTTTCTAAAAGAAGCCGGTCTGCAAGTATCTCACCAACAGCTTCTCTCACACTCAATTAGTGGTAATGCGTGGCAAAGAGGCTGTGCCAACCAAAGAGCATCTATTATATTGGATGATATAATATACATATATTCATCTCCCCAGCAGGCGATAAATAGTGTAAATGCGATAATACGCGTGTGACGCAGAAAAACATGTCACAATGTTTCCAACAACAGCAGGGGAACAGCATCAGGTCAAATGTCATCTTATTCTATTTACATAATAAGTATTAATAGCATTATTATGTACGCCGATTATCATCAGCGTATAAACATATATGTATAATCTTTTTCGATTTAAACTATACTTTCAGATGAGAGGAGAGATTATCAGAGACAATCTTTGTGACGACTTAAATCTGAAGAATCAAATTAATATTTGTCATCATATTATAATTTATGATTTAACTTAAGATATAATAATAGGGGGTGTATATGTATGTATGATCAACGCGACGCTACAAATGCTTACGAACGCCTCGAAGCGTTTTTTGATTGGTTAGTTAGTAAAATTCTTTCTTCTAATTGGGCAATTGAAAGTTTCGAAGCATAATCGAAGTTGGTCGAAGTGGCTGACGATCGAATCGGTTGACGATTCGATTCTTGAGTTTTGAAAAGAATCGATTCTCGATGCATCGAATTAGAATATGGCATCACTGCTCATAACCTCAGAAATACAGATTCGAAATAAGTAGTTTACAACTTCAAAAGAGTAAAATCGTGAATATATCTATCTTATAATTGGTCTGTTTTTTCTGTTCCTGCACTAAACTGAACTAGAACTCTTTCTCGCTATCGAGAAATATCAAACATATCTCACTTTAAGTTCTAAAAGTGTACACTAGTTCAGTCACAGAAAACAGATCTAATATTAAGAAGCATGGTAAGAACATTTTAATTAATTATATTTGATATAATCTCTGTAGTTAAAAATATATTTTTTTATGTAATTATAATGTTTTTACAAATTTCGTAATTTATTCTATTCTAGGATGTCCAACGGCATTCTGTACACACGTTAGTATTTCGGTCTCTAAAGAGGACTCATGATATGTTTTTGTTAAATCAAGGATCCTTACCGCCGGAGGATCCTATTTTGTAAGTATCTTTCCATCACAATCACTTTAGCTGCTTTCCTTTTAGAATACAATTGACACGAATGTCATTCTATATTTCTTGACATTTAATGAATAACAAAGATAGAACAACTTATGTTAATTATAGGTATGTTTTTTTTATTCCTGTACTACGTTGTATTTCTGTACTACAAAACATATCTGTTTTACTTTAAGTTCTACAAGTGTGTATAATTTTACCTACAGAAAAGAGACTCTGTTGTTTCTTAAAAGGAAAAGCCTTGTTACAGCCATAGATTTCTATAAATAGTTGTGTTTAGAGAGAATTACTTATCAATCAAACTTCCTGCTTTAATCTTCTAAGAGAACATTTATTTATTTGCTTATATTTATTTTTAGACAACAAATGAAGAAGGTGATAAAAGCAAAAGACTGTTATGGCCCAGTATTAGAACGCGTCAAGCAAAATAATATAGCTAAAGTACAACAAGATAATGATATTGCGGATCCTCCACCGCCAGGAGGTAATATTGTGCATACACATGACCAAGATGAAAGTAAGAATTATTACTCTTATATATATTTTATTGTACCAATTTTAACCTGTTTTAGATGAAACTTTTGGAATTAATACTACCTTGGCAGTTGTTCCTTATAATATAACAAAAAGTAGCACAAATATAGTGCCAATAGGTACAGGAAGCAATATAAGCAGTGGTGCACTCACAATACCACCAAAGAAAACACCATCAATGGCGAAACCTAAATGGCATGCCCCATGGAAATTGTACAGAGTCATCAGTGGTCACTTAGGTTGGGTGAGATGTTGTGCAGTGGAACCTGGAAATGAGTGGTTTGCTACAGGCTCAGCCGACAGAGTAATCAAAGTGAGTGTTCAATTTCCACAATGTGGTTTCAACTTATTTAATAATATCTCAGAACATAAGATCAACAAAAAATGGCTTTCATAATACAATAATTTGATATTTTTGAAATTACATAATAATAATTATAATATAATAAAAACATAATACAATAATTTAATATTTTTAAAATTACAGATATGGGATCTAGCAAGTGGCAAGTTGAAGGTTTCATTAACAGGTCACATAAGTAGCGTTCGTGGTCTAGCATTTTCGCAAAGACATCCCTATCTATTTTCATGTGGAGAAGATCGACAAGTCAAATGCTGGGATCTGGAATATAACAAAGTAATCAGACACTATCACGGCCACTTATCGGCAGTATATTCCATGGCGTTGCACCCCACTATAGATGTTCTAGTAACAGCAGGACGAGATTCGACTGGAAGAGTGTGGGATATGCGTACCAAGGCAAATGTCCATACACTCGTTGGACACACTAATACAGTGGCTAGCGTAATTTGTCAGTCCGTCGAGCCACAGATCATCAGTGGCAGCCACGATTGCACAATTCGCTTGTGGGACTTGGCTGCCGGAAAGTCCAGAGCCACTCTCACGAATCACAAGAAGAGCGTGCGCGCTCTGACGTTCCATCCTTCTCTATACATGTTTGCCTCAGCCTCGCCGGATAATATCAAACAATGGAAATGTCCGGAAGGAAAATTTATTCAAAATCTATCGGGCCATAACGCCATAGTTAATTGCTTGGCCGTGAATGCCGATGGAGTTTTAGTTTCCGGTGCTGACAATGGTACCATGCATCTCTGGGACTGGCGAACTGGATACAATTTCCAACGGCTCCAAGCGCCAGTCCAGCCAGGTTCGATGGATAGCGAGGCCGGAGTATTCAGCATTACGTTCGACATGTCAGGCACTCGTATGATTACGACAGAGGCTGATAAGACTATTAAAGTATACAAAGAAGATGATACTGCTGTAAGTTGATTTTTTATAATGCTTACTGATTTATCATCAGTCGCACACTGATAATATTCAATTAGTTCGTTGTTTGAACTTTACATCAATTATTCTTTATCTGTTTTCAGACTGAAGAAACGCATCCTGTCGACTGGCGACCAGACATAATAAAGCGAAGAAAATACTGAACTCTAACTTATTTAACTGTATATATACTAATGTAATTAACTTAATGTGACTGAAGGGTTGCTTGTTCCATCTTCGGATATAATAACTATGTGATAATTTATCTAATGAATATATAAACGAGAGGGTAAAAGAATAAGAGAACAAGAGAATGTCTGTTTCTGCTGATGTAGATTTTTAATCTTGAATTAACGTACATTTTATCTTACTAAATCTAAGAATCAGAAAAAAAGATAAGTATATTAAATCAAGATTAAAAATCCTAAAAATTTGGAAAAAAAAAGAATAAATTAAGCAGAAATAAAAACTAATCTACATAGATAGAAATGGACATAAGAAGTACGAGAATAAGTTGATATACTTTTTTAAATAGAATAAATTGAGATTTATTTTGAAAGGTGGAACAAGCCAGCCTGAACACGTTCAAAAATTATTTTTTATATAGGATTACTTTGATTTCCAGATTGTAAAGCTATTCAAGCTGCAATAAAAAGAAAAGATTTCTACAAAGATTTTTGTTTTAAAAATACCAATACGTATTTCGTATATCATAAGAAAAGTTCATATCTCGAACGTATCGATTGGTTACCAGATGCCCGAGTGGGGAACTGCGGTCTGCGGTTCCCTTCTATCGGAGAGTTACTAGATCAAGTAGGATAGTCAGGCAGGCAGAGGCTCGCTGGATTCGACAGTGATAACATATTCTGTAATAATGGCCGACCCGACCCTACAAACATTCTGCTGTTATCACACAAACCGAACAGATAGAACGATAGTGCTAATGCAGGAATTCAATACAGACGCGTATAATACAGTATGCATGTTCTCATCGACGATGGGTATGATAGGCGCGATTTATCAGGTAAATTCACACTAAATGTTATCTTCGAACATTCCCCCTCCATTGGTTCGTTTCTTTTTATTAATTTGCAATAACTAACATACAAAACAGGAATTCATGTAAAATATATAGTTCTTTATTACGACTAAATTTGATTGCTAGAAAATATCATTTTGAAATTGAAACTTTTCTGTCATGATGCGATTGTTTAGGTTGCACCTTTTACACTTTGTCTCTTCCTCTAATGCATATAATTTATCCTGTTTCACGTGCGACAAGTGTATAGAAAAGTGCAGCTAAAAGAAACCGGTATTTATTTTGAAGTATTTATATTGAATAATTATAATATAAAAATAAAATATGATGTAAATATTATCTGAATAAAACATGAAACAATTATACAGATTTTGAAAAAACATATATATACTTTATTATAATATATATATATATATATATATATACATGTATGTATATATTATTATATTTTTATGAAAAAATATATTTGCACACATCATGCACAATGTTACAGATTAATGTAAATGATGAGAAATATTTGAAGGTATCAAAGCAAATTGGCATTGTTAAACAATAAAAGAATATATATTTTTTCAGATACTACCCCGAGCGGATTCAAATAGTTCTTATCGTTTGAGGAGCTTCTTCAGAGGACGAGATATTATCGTATGGCTTGCAGTGGCCGATCTCTTAGCGTCCTTAGGTCTAGTTTGTTATCGCAATTTGATTATGTGAATAGCTGTTAGTAGTAGTACATAATCATTCATAAATTAATTACAGTTATAAGTTTATCTTTTGGTGAATGAATACGATTATGTGATAAATAGATAAATAAAATAGGTGTCTTATCTGATTATTTTGTACTCAATCAGGTGTGTTTGTGAGATCAGTGCTATGGAGAAATTTCAAATTCATTATACCAATGGAAGGAGATAAGTCGAACGTGGTGTTTTGCACTGTATTGTCGGTAATGTTCATATGTTTGATACAGATACTTGAAAATTTACTGGAATATTGATAGCGAATTCAGAATTTATATTACACTAAAAATTAATTTATACTAAAAGTTACTATATATAAAATTTGGCAAAGTTAAACATAAAATAGATAAGTATTTTTAATGATTAAATACCCAATTATATTGTCACGTTTATTTAATATATCTTATTTCATTTTATTTCAAAATATACATTATTTCATTATCACACACAAAATTAATTATACGTCATTGCATATTTTATATAAAGTAATATTTAATGTGCGCATTAATCCAGTGGAACGTGAGTGACTGAATTTACCATAATAGATTGTTGCTCGTAGGCATGGATTCAATACTTCTACATGGCCACGTGGATATGGACGTTGTGTTACGCAGTGGACATGAAGTTACTGCTGGGAGATAAAAACGGACGTCCTGTGTGCTATCATACTTTGGCTTGGGTGCTTCCTGCCATTCTCACCTCGTTCGGACTGATCATTCTATACATTCCCGATGCAAAGTCAGATTTAGAAGTATCACAAATTATTTCTACGTGCAACCCTAGAGCAATTGTAACAAATGCGAAATTGTCTTGCAGCTGCCACAACTTGACGTCGTTATTCAATGTGATATTGCGTATCCTTCCGAACTACTTCGCCACGTATGTGCTACTGGCAGTGGTCATGATCGTGAATCCTATTCTGTATATCGCATCAACTCGCGATCTTGAAACGGTGGTTCTGCACAGTATGGCTCAAGTGACTGGCAGAGAACGAAAATTGATACAAACGATTAAACTAAAATTCGCTCTCATAAATGTGGTCTACTACGTGTGCTGGACGCCCAATTTAATCAATGGATTATTATTGTGGATCTTATGGTTTCAGTTGCCGAACAAGGTGATCATCACTTTATGGTACATAATGGTATGTTCGTGTAAATATTATTTTAAGCGTATGGATAAATATAAGAAAATGATCGAGTCAATTTCTTATCGACAGGCTGTGACAAATCCTCTTCAAGCATTTTTTAACGCGATCGTTTATCAATCATGGACTAGAAGGGAGAAATTACGTTTTGAATGTTGCCAAAATTTTAAATCGAGCACTAATATAAATTTAAATGCGATCCCAAAAATAGACAGCGACATGTATGTTTCTGAATCATCTCCATTACTAAATCCACGAATGGGATACGAACAGAAAATACCGCATATCAGTATAAATCACGGATCTTCATCTCTGTGAGAATCTATTTTACTGCCAGTTTATCAAAAGTATAAATAACAGCTATATCATAGAGATTTAACCTATTTAAGAAATTTTAGTAATGCCCGTATCAGATTACGGATTAAGATTGAGATTGGACTAGAATTTAACCAATAAAAAAAAAAAGAAAACCAATAAATAAGTTTAATGAACTTTGATTCCAATTCAGTCTCAATCTTGATCTGTGTAATCTGATATTATATCAGATATAAGATTTAAAACGTAAAATCAGTTTTTATGCAATTTTTATACATAAAATTAGATTCGTAAATTTTTTATCAAAGCGCGGTTATTTAATAAGATTTTTCAAAAAACGTCTCGACATGGATAAAACAACATTTTATTAAAAAGTTTTTCGAAATATGCGATAAGAGAAATATTGTATAAAATAGAATTTTTTAATATATTACACAGAAATATCGTATTAAAATATAGATTTTTATACATTATACATCCGCGATATAATATAAAACAAAGTAACTGCATATAATTTAACTAATATTAAGACATAATCTACAGAAAATCGAGATTTTGAAATAGATCAATGAAGGAGATATAACACAAAAATGGATCGCATGCAAGTTTCTTAAATAGAAGATTCGCGGCGCTCAGATGCATATACAATACAAAATGGGCTGTTTAATTACTTCTAAAAAATAGAGTGCCTTTTTGAAAGATAGTAAATATTCTTTTTTACAATGTGTTGCATAATGGTCTCATAAATAAAAAGATATAATAAAATAGAAGTAGAGCATATATGTATAATAAGGATTTCGTTATTAATAATATTTTGTACTTAAACATTACGTGTTATACATTCTAAATATTGTTAAAATATATCTTTCTATATCATAATATCACGATTAACGGCGGTCACATGCATTATTGTATGTACATATCTCATTATCTATTTTAACACTTTGTTATGTATGTATGTATATGTGTGTGTGTTTGTGTGGTGTGTGTATATATGTTTATATATGTATATACATATATATAAATATTAGTAATGAAAAAAGTACAAAATTTTATATTTTAAAAATTCATCAACATCTGCATAGTCATCTTTTTCAGAAGCGAGAAAAATAATACGAATAATATTAATAAGTTTTGTATACATAAGATTAAAGATAGAATAAAAAAAGTAGATGGAATTACTCTAATGAGATAAATATACTATATAAAATTTTGACACATAGCAGTCTGTTTTATCATAATCACTGAGTATTTTTTCATGAATATTAATTTAATTATTAATACAGATATAAGTGATAAAATGGATGGCGAGCAATTTGGATTTCTCGCTTCTGATGTTATAATTAACGATGGCTAATGAAGAAATTGCGCATTCGTTAAATTATTGTTCTTTGTTCATCGAGTATTGTATAATAAATTAATAGAATAGGAAGAGTTTTTAATAGTTACAAAAAATATTACAGATACTGCTTATAAGATCTTTAAATTATTCTATGCAACGAATTGTAAAGATAGTTGAATATACATATATGTTAATTTTTATGAAATTATTTATATTATAAATTCTGATTAAATCATTTATTAGCAAATTCAAATCTCTATTTCATTGTTACGCCAAAATGTAAAAATACTAGAACATACGAAAGACATTTCTCCCCACAAACAGTACTTCCTTTTAAAATGTATTATAAAAGAATTAGAATTTTTCATTTATCGGTTTGGCACTTTGGCAAAGTCTGCAGCTAATGTTTAAAATAAAAAGACAAAGCACTTACACAAATACACAAAAAAATATTTTATACTTAAAAAAAACTTAAGCCTCAGAATCATCACGTCAAGTTTGCACCATCAAGAGGGAAGATTTGAAGCTCCAAGCGTTAAAGACGTAATTTCACGAATGATCATCTCGGCGATTCTCCATGCTAACTCCTCTTTAGCCTGTTAATAGTAATTAATGCATTAATTAAATAATGCACATTATATGAAAATAAATTACCATTATAATTTTTATTAATGAATCATTTTAGTGTTCTAAATTCGAAAATGTCAGTATTATAAAATGTTTACCTTATCTTGTTCTATATTTACAAATCGTTTTACAACACGAGTTAGGCGAGATTCTGAAATTTGTTGACGATTATTTTATATAATTATATATATATATATATATACATGCCACTTTAAATTCATTATAAATTTGAACGTGACTTACCATATTTTCTATGAGGATCTGGTTCTATTTCAGTAATAAATCTACCTAAGTTGTCAACGTAACCAATGCTCAAACTACAAAAAATATCGAATTATTTGTAGTTTACAGATAAGTACAAATGTGTGTACAGTATTAAATTATCAAATACCTATATTTATTACGTCGCCACAAGGAATCTGGATCATAAAGTTGCCTAGTGTCAATATTCAGATGACTATTAATAGTTTTCTTATTATCAGGTAATTTGTTGCCATTATTTCCTATTTGAGAAATACTTGGCATACTAGTACACACCGAGCTTACTTCACTGCTGCAATCTGAACCTGTAAATAAATATTTTTTTTAATTATAATATTATATAAATACACTGTCTACAAAAATTACATATATAAAATAAAAAACACAAACATTAAGATATAATATTCTAATTCTTTAATATTTTTCAAAAATATTAATACGTAATTGTAATCAACAATTGATATTAACCTGTTCTTCTTATCTTAGAATGTAAACTCGAACACGGACTTGTCTGAATTGTGTTGATTAACTCTGATAAGTATTTATAATACAACTGCGACGATAAGAACACGGGCAGATAATGCTAGAAGAAAGTATTGGCTTTTAATACAACTTCAACGTTTAAGAATCTATTTATTGAGTGTGGTATTGTGTATGGAGTTAAAGATAAATTTGTGTAATAGATGAGTGTACCTTGTTGAGAAAATTATATACAATTTTACTAGGTTTATCAAAACAATCAGGCTGTGGACCGCCCTCATCTTCGCGGCAAATATTCTGTTCTACATGAAAACGAATCTTATCACTAAATCCAAGAGGCATGGTTGCTTGTAAACTGAAATATCTGTAAGAAAGGTAATAATATTATAAACTATATTTTTACTTCTTTCCTCCATAGAATCATACATATTTTAGAAATTACTTCTCATATATAATAACGGCATCAGATTGCGCTTCTTCGGGATTGGCTGCTCCCTGTTTTTCTAAGAGATTCTGCTTGTAACTTATAGCTGACATCCAAAAGTCCAACAACTCTCGTTTATTTTCGAGTTCCATAAACTGTAAAGAATGTAAAGAATAGAGTCTCTTACAAAAATTTCTATAAAAGTAACGATCGTGAAAGTAACGATGCAAACCTCCATGAAATAAAAGAATGCTGTTTCGTTGTATAATATATCTGCTAATTGTACATTGCCACTAGTGAGCACGTCAATTTGATGCTTACAGTGAAATTCGCTTCGTAAAAAATCATTAATATACCTGCGAAAGGTACAATTTTTTAAATACATTAATTAGTTATTCGAACGACACATATTAATGAATATATGTCACTCACTCGTTTTCTAATATATTGTATACTATGCTTTGAACAGCAGATAGGCACCATAATATAGGCTCAATGTTTTCTTCAACAATAGCCTTCTCCATATCTAGCTTTAGTTCCTCAGATATTTGATTTACACCAAGAGCTTCTTTGAGAATGTACTTTTTATAAATTCTCAAAGCATCCTGCCTGGTCGTTGTCGTGTCGTGTCTCCTGCTTTCACAATCATGATTTGATTGTCGCGTGTCGCTTACCGCCTGACTAGTCTTTGGCATATAGTTGGATGTTACATCACCCGTTCTCTCATCAAACGGTATTTCACTGCTCGTTTGAGTATCTACATCGTTAGCGAGCATGTCACAGCTAAAGTTTTCATTATCGTCTAAGGAAGTAGGTAAGACATTCAGCGTCTCCTTTTGATTTGACTGTCTGACTTTCTGTGTGTCTAGCATTCCAGATGCGCTACACAAGCACTCCACTTCTAACCAGAACTTGATAAGAGCTATATGCTTTCTAGTGTCCATAAACTGGATGAAATAACCAAGGGCACTTTTGTCCTTAAGTATTTCCGGCAGAGCTTTAGATAACCGAGAGCTGAAGGCGCATGATACTTCTTTAATGTCATTATTGAGAATCTCCTCCTCCTCTTCTTCCTCGAGACTGCACAATACACCCGAGGGTGTCTGAATAGATGACGTGCCACCGTTGAATACATCTACCAGAAAGTTTCCGGAGTTTGTCAATTTTGTAGGTGAAGTTTCTGATAATCCGGACTTATCCCTTTGTCCTAAAAGCATTATATGTAATTTCATTCTAATGACAATTAAAAATCAATCATTCAAATTGACAAAGATATATTATATTGTCATTTTCCAGGAATAATTATCAGATAATCTAATTTACTTTTGAATGTAAATGATATATATAGGAAAGTTCCAATTCAAATGGCAAAACGCAATTTCCAAATATCTCAGTGGAAACAAGAACGAAAGAAAAAAAAAAAAATAAAAGGTAGACGTATTGGAAATGTCAGAAGGTCAGGCTTGGATACTAAAGATTGTGCATGCTAGACGAGGAAGATGATTCGTGCGCTTCGTCGTAATTTACGTCGCAACAGAAAAGCGACGTATAATATAATTACCAATCTTCTTAAAAAATTGGAGCATCGTTCGTGTCAGCGCGTAGCATGATAAAGGTCGCCGATGACGCGAGAGTCGTCGAAAGGTAAACAACGGATGATGCTTTACGAGTGCGGCAGAAGCGCATCCCACGGAGCGCGTGAACGGCGCCGCTCCAAAAGTGTCAGGCTGTGCCGCACGATCGGGATCGCGATTCGGACGACGACGACGACGGTCCCGAGCCACCGCGTTGCGCGGGTCTCGCTGACGACGACGACGACGACGTTCCGCACCCGAGGAGGCTAGGCGCGCACGCGGCGACGCGCGGCATTTCGCCTCGGCGTCATTATCGGGCGTGCGAAATGACAGATTATTGTTGTTTGCATCGTCGCCGATTACGACACACGCTCGCGCAGAGTGCAGGCAGGTGCAGCAATGCGAGAATCCGCGGGCCGCCTACACTTCCGTCTTCAATTAACCCCCGCGAGACCCGTTCTTTGTATCCGTACTATGTCATACTTCCTGCACTTGGGAAAAAAATGGATAAATAATTGAATGGGAAGAGGAGAGAAAGATGGAATGAGCATTGTAGAAAATTTAACTATACAAATGTGTTTGACGTGCACTTCGTGTTCCAATGGCGCGAATACAGGCAAGGGGTCATATATATATGTAATATATGCAAGGGGTGAAGGGAAAGTGCGGAAAGTGCACTTGTCGCGAGCGGAACCGCTGGCACTTAAATACGCGCGTTTTTCGAATACTTCGGGCTGCCGAAATTTTATATTATTGTTAAAATCATATATTTTTTTTATTTATTTCATGCATTTGATGCACTTCTTCTTCTCTTGTGAGATTTATCGCGTATATTAAAATTAATATATAAGATTGATTGTGAAAAGAGAAAATTTTCTTTTTTGGAATATTTATACATTTCTATTTGCGTCTGATAACTTTATTTGTGACACTTGTAATGTTTCTGAAAAAATAATTAATTTATATACTCTATACATATATATATTTACGAAATTTAAATTTTCAGTTTCAGCCATTATGTACAGTCTATTTCTCATATTTCTATAAATATATTAATTCTAATCTTACCTCAATTTTCCTTCGTTTTCTTCTAGTTTTAAAGATTAGAACATTGGTGAAAATGGGCATTAGAATTTTAAATAAATTCAGAAGACTGATCTAATTAAAATTAAAATATGGATTATAACGCCAGAGATTTCATGTATTACTCTTCGGATATTCCTTTACCTAATCATCGTCTATATCTCATGATAAGATCATACTCGTCGAGCAGAACAAGTCACGATAACATCAAAGTGGTATTAAAATGGGTATAGTTATTGATTATAAAGTAATTTTTAGTAATTATTTTGGAGTCGTCTTGACATGATCATTTTGATGTCATGATAACTTTTGTTTAAATATTTGAAAAATACTTTCCTCGAGAAGAGTAACAAATTACAAAGTGATACATTGTTTCATACGTTACAATTCTTTCAAGAGCGCTTCGTTTTCCCTCTTGCAGACCCCTTTACTCTATACATATCTAAGAAGCATTTGAACGAGTGAATCTCTCGAGTAGACGCCAAGTGGACGGTATACCGTCCCGCTTGTCCGGATTCTCTCGAGATCATTACGGGCACGTGCAAACACTTCTGATGACCGAGAAGTACGAAAGCGTATACTAAAATATACGTGAGACGATCCGATTGCATGTAGACACGCGATGTTGTACGCGTTCCGAAGGCCGGCTGTCAAGGTAGACCGCGTAGCGGCGAGAGGGCAATGGCCGGGCATCGTACTCGCTGTGTGCGGAACGCCGGGAGGTGACAGAGAGACGCAGGAATACGAGACGAGGTGTCCACCGGGCGGTGTGTATACCGGTTTTATATGTACGCGCGAACGCGGGACTGAATCGTGTCCCGGGAGCGAACCGGCTGTCTCGTCAGCGGATTCCCGCCGGAGGCGGTGAGGCGCATCAGGTCGGGGCCCCCAGGGCGTTCGCTCCCGTCCATTTTTCAGTCCTCTTCACGTCAGGATCGATCACAGACGATCATGCTCGCCCTACGCAGCCTCCTCGTTATCGCGGCCTGTCTCTTCACCGCCACGACGATGCCTCCCGCGCTGGCCAAGGCGGTCTACGATCAGCGACAGACCGGCGATGTGAATGTGCAGATCGACCTAAACGACCTGCAGGTGATTGCGCTGGTTAACTCCGAGCTCCTGGACGATTATACGGTAAATCCTTTTCTCTTTCTTAATCTTTTTCTCTCTCGCCCCTTTTTTTTCATTGTTTCTTCCTTTTTCTCAAATTATTTTACATTTCTTTCTTTATTATGAGAAAGCATAAAAATTGAATTTTACTATAATATGCTTTTTGATTTTATTGTGCTTCAACTTGCTATTGTAAAAGAATAATCGAAATCTTTCTTCAGTTTGTAACTGCAGCGTTCGTTCTATATATATATATATATAATATACGATAAGTTTGATGCGAGATTGAAACGATCAGCCTGGAATTCATGAAGTTCATTTTAGATATTTTATACTAATTGGAATGCATTTTACAAATTACATATTTCGTTTAATAATAAATTTGCTTTAAGTACTACTGAAAAATTCATCGATGATATTCACCGTCGACATCGTGTTATCTTCGCAGGATTATGATTACATGTATGATTACGCCGACTTTACGATCAAGCCGAGCAACAAGCCTACCACGAGTTCCACAACAGGGACCACGGAAAAAAACGATATCACGCAAGTTTCCGAGCCGCTGCTGCCACAAAATTCAACCGATTTGGCGTCTGCCAATAATACAAGCGCGATCGCAAGCAATACAACGCTATCCAACGGTGAAGGAGTCCCGAATGTTACTCTGTCGAATGGTATCGAGAGCAATAATAAGACACTGTCCAAAGACGAAGAGATCCCGAACACTGATCCGTCGATTGGTACTGCGAGTTCAACGCCGAATACAGATAACGACGACGATAAGAGTCAGCCGGGCGAAGAAGAGGATGGAGTTGGAATAACTCCTTCGACCACGGTTAAACCTGCTCACGCCGTGCGGTCGCAAAAGCGCTGCAAATCTGGATACGTTCCAAACGGCGACGGTCGCTGTCGACGAGCAAGTCGACCGTGGCTGAGTCGCTTGTTGCCGTGAGTACAACCGTACGAGTACGACCGGATGCCCCACTCTGATTGGATTGGTCCTCCTTCGACCGGATTCAAACGGCAAAAGCTAGAAGAGTAAATTTGGAAACGAATATCTTTTGAAGGTGTGCCATATATATATGCATCAAATTTACACCATGTTTGCCTTCACGATCTTCACGTAGTGAAACAAATCCCACGTTTTACACTTTTGTAATGCGATAATTATCTCCGAGTACTTGACGTGCTTCCTTTTATTTCACAGAGTTCCGGATTATAACAAAAGAAAACTTCCCTAAAAGAAGTAATACTTAATTAAAGTATGTAATTCGCAGGAAGAAACACAAGCATACATGCATATTCTTAGACGTATTTTCTTTTAGCTGAACTTCTTACATGATTCATCGTCTCTTTTTTCTTCTTTAACGTAGAAAGAAAAGAAGTTTAGCTAAAAAGGCTTATCTCGTGCAAGCTTGTATTTTTTCTTCCGTTCCTTTTAACTCTTGCTTCATCTTATTATCACGCTTTAGGTATCTGCCTGATCGTTTGTTTGTAACTCGTAATTAGCTGCGTTGTTGAAATCCGAGATGATCCATAACGATGTTGGTGTACAGGCGATCGGTATCGTTCCCACGCCAATCGACGTGGCGATGTGTCCTATAAGTATTCCTGTGGCGAGATGGATCCCCCTATCATCATACAGATTCCGTGTACCGGTTCGTGCAACGGTCTCACCGAGTGCGGTGGGCCCGCTACTCGCGCGGTCGTCGCAGTCGAGTAAAGGACCTCGCTCGTTTCGCTCGCGTTGTCCGAAGAGTATTGTATTGCGAGGTCGAACTGCGTTGCATCTCTTATCTCGTTCACGTACACGCATCACAACGTAGCGCGTGCGATCGACGTGTAACACCAAGAGGATGGCGATGGTTCAGATGTTACTTTTTCTTGGTACGGCGTTTTTCGCGTTCGCCAAGGTTGGCGCCGTTCCGGCTAGATACGACCAACGGCAGGATGGCGAGATCAACGGACATGGTACGCTAAAAAACCTCCTCTTCGTTGTGGTTTTGCCAGGTAGCGGTAGTACCAGCACTAACGACATAAGCGAGCTGGCATGGCATGCTATCGAAACGGCGGTACTCGCTCGATCGAAGGGACAAGGAGCGATCAAATCCAGTGAGACAATTCGCCAAGAGGGGCCCTATTCTGCGGAAATTCAGCTAAATGAGAATCATCTAGATAAAGAAAATTCGGTACGAAAAGCGGAAGGAGATACGAAAACGTCGAACATTTTGGACCAACAACCGGTATCCGTCGGCGTCGGGCAAAACAAAAAAGCTGACAGGATCGCGAGAAACGTGAAGAATTTCGACTTTCCGAAGAGCCGCGAGGTGCCGACTGTTCCGGGATACTTCATGAACTTGAGGAAAACATCCAGACCCAAGACGGGAAGCAGTAGCCGGGCTCGGAACGTGGTCGGGAACGTGGTTTGGAACTCTGACGACGAACCTGGAAGACCGGGAATGTCGTTAAAGAAGCAGCTACCTGGTGACGTCGCACTATCTTCGTCGAACGCTGAGAAAACTGACGTGTCTCCGTTGACCAAGGAGAAGCAACAGGAACTCAAACTACTGGGCGACGGCGTTGAGAACTGCGGTCCAGGAAGACATCGCGACGCGTCCGGCATCTGCCAGTTTGACGATTCGACCGATTCTCTTTAGCTTTAAGTTCCCATGGCTGTAATTCTTAAACATTAAAGTATATTAGTTATTGTCATATGATTATTTTTCATATGATTATTTCTCAACGATATTTTATTTTTTATTTGTATGAATTTTATATCAGATTTATTACCTCTGCTGATAAAAAGCATTTTTTTTTTTTGCTTATTGGTGCGAGAGCCATATAAGATAGAACGAGAAGGGTAATGAGTTATTTGATTAATTTAGCACGTAAAACGCGCTGAATGTGAGATAATTATTGTTTTATAAAGTATACGTGTGCGAAGATTTACTACATGTATCTATTAAGCTACTTGATCAATAAAATACTTAAGACAATAGCAATATGAATATGTATTTAAATATAAAGGAAAATAAAATTTAAATACAAAAGAAAAAGACACGAAAAAATTGCAAAATGACAGATCTAATTTTCTTTTAATTTTAATTTAATTTTTACTTTCATTTCCAAATCAGTAAGCTCTTAGAGATCAAAAGTATATACAAAAATCGTTAATCGGAAACCATTTTTTCGTTTTATATTTTCTACCTTTCTTATTCTTTTTTTTTGTCGTCGCGATATAAATAGCGTCTATCTCGGGAATTAGATCCTTACCCCCAGGAATTCTGAAAAGCCAAAATTCTGATCTTGCATTCTCCAATCGGGGACAGAGACAATCATGCAAGGCGCGCGGTACGCCGACCCTCCAGAATTTTCAGAAATCGAAGGTCGTTCCCCAAAGACCGGCGGCGATTCCGCGACGACGTTGATTCGGCTCCCAAGGCGGAAGCGTGAGCGAGAGGAAAGAGCAAGGGCAAGGTTACGGTAATAGGCGCCAAGCCGCGAGACGGGCAGATCGGGGAAACGAACTCACCGCGAACGGCCACGATAGGACATTGCCCTTTACAGAGATTGGTGACTATAGATGTGCGCACACCTACGTACACGTGTATGTATACACCTGCGTACCGCGTGTGATAACTATTACGCTTTAGCATCATCGCATATCCTCCGTCTTGTTCCTCCTTTTCCTTTGAATAAAACTGGTTATCGCCGCGAGGGACGTTGACGCGCGATTGATACGTCGTTGATGAGGACCAGCTTCAGCAGTCCCACCGCGTCTCCATCGTTGAATATCGTTAATGCTATTAATATCATCACGTTCCTTTCCCTTGATGGCGATTTCGTTCGCAATCCGAATGTAATAAGGATGAGGAGACGTTCAAGGAACCTCACGAGGATCATTTCCAACATCGCGCATCTCCTCTCAGCTGGAGACCAAATGGAGAAAAATGCAATTAGCCGCAAGATGAAAAATTCTTGAATTATGAATGACTGAAAATAAAAAATGACAAGACCTTGTTATTTATCTTACAAATAAATCTTTCGTCAATATCTTAATTAAAAATTTTTTATATTAAAAATTCAATCTCAGTACTGAGAGATTATGAAGGAACAAGGAAACTTGTTATTAAATAAAAATACAGCTTCTTTAATATAAAATACCTTTTCTTAATAACGTTCAATCATTCATGTTCAACTTTATGAAAGTTGGTCCGAAAAATTGTGGATAGAGAAGGTATAGTTCAGATTTAATCAAATTCGAGGAATCTCCTGCTCCAACCTTCGCAAAAATTATTACAAAAGTTTTACAGCGTATCAACAGTGCCGTGACGATATATGTGCCGTTAGCGGCAGGTTGCTGTCAGTACGCTGAGGTTCTTGAACTTTTCCGGGGATCCGTTTCTAGAACCGACCGAAGGAAGGCTCAGGTTCGGATCGCCCAGGTGGGGATCGGGATCGTCTTCTGGTACGAGACGTCGCCCGGTCATCACACCTTGAGCATCCTCCGTGTTGTCCAGACACGTCTCACGTTCTCCAACGTCGTTTCGTTCGCTTTCGTCGCATCTCGCGATACCGGTACTGGTCCCGGGCCAATCGCGTTCCCGCGTCATCTCGTTAAGAATCACAAAAAGTGGTCGGCCCGAGTTCACGTCCGTTGAGTAAGAAAATAACTTGTAAATTCACAATCGCAACCGAACAGGAAGCATCCTGTAGTCACCAGATTCAATCATAATCGAATAGAAAACAATAATTTAGGAATTGGAATCAAGTAGAAGACAACTTGACGGATTTTAAGACAGACCGAGGTCAAGTAGATAGGTGAACCCGACAAGTTCACGAGTTGCATTTTAGCTAAAGGCAACTCGACAAGTGGCCGTTCATCAATGTTATCAATCAACATGCGCGTATTCAAGACTGTGCTACTCATTGCGTTTTTCGCAAGCGTTCAGTGTTTACCCATCACCGATAAGCCAACTGAGTCCGAGACTGATTCCAAGATCGAGTCTGAGACATCGATCAAGGACGAAATCACATCGGTGATACCGCAGGAGTCAGCTGTAACCTTCGCCGCACCAACGTCCACGCTCTCCGATGCCATTGATTACTACGACCAACGGCAGAACGGGACCGAGAACTATCGCATCCACTTGGACGGTCTTGTATTCGTATTTGCACCGGTCGAGGCATTGCTCTTGGCCGGCGCCGCCGCTAGTAACTCGGAGCATAATATATCAACTTCCAGCCAGAAGGTATCCACTCCGCCGACGATCCAGTCCATCAATGAACTTGACAAACCCATCATCGATAGCGTTCCCAATAAAACTGATTTGGCAATTTCGAAGACACTAAACAAGTAAGAATCCATCTACTTCATATAGCTGCTCTAATAATTAATTTTATTAATATTAATTATATAAACCTTATAAGTATGATTTTATTGCAACTGACATTCATGTATAATTTCCAATCTTTTAATTATAAAAATAATTCAGTGTACACTTTCTCTTCTTATATTCCAGACCAGCTGTACGGTTGGTGAATTTCTTGGCGCCTTTGATACGTCACATACGTCATGTGCGAGGCACGAGCGTGCACTAAAACAATTCCTCGATGCTTGCAATTCCAATACGCAATGTTCCGTCTACAGCATATATTAAGAAAACGGTATTTCTCTTTCCTTTTAATACAGCGTGTGCTGTGTTATGTGTTTCAAACTACAACCATTTAAAATGAGATGTTTAAAAAAACAATATATTCTGTTCAGGGATAGGATATCTGCATCTACAGGGATGATGGACGAGTACTCGTAGAATATAACGTGTATGATTGACGACTGAATCGATGTCGTACCACGCATTTATATGGTGTCTAGTTATAGTTAATAAAAGGATGCGCTAATATTAGCATTATCCCCGAGCTCATTTCTCTGTAACGTAAAAGATGGCTTTTAAATGAAAATACATGAAATTACAGGAATGGCGATTTCATTCACCTATCCGTACAATGTAACGGGCGATTATGTTTCAGTAACCACATATGTATTTACATGTTAAACAAACTAAATGCAATATTCGCTTTGCCATAATTCCAGTTTGATTTAGCGTCACAGTACATAAATTATTATTCACTTGATTATAAACCAATCGTAATTGTTAGTCACGATTTTTTGTATTAAACAATTGCAAATTTTTCACATGCATTTACGTGATATAATTTGCTTTAATTATGTGTAAAATTATGTATATATAATACAATTATATACATCTGTATATTTTTCAAGATATGAAAATTTATTTGATTAAACAATAAAATACATATGTGCTGTTGTTTGGTTGTATCATCACAATATTTCCTATTATTAAAGCTATGCTTAAGTTAAAGCCAGCTTCGTTTTAATAAAAGAAACTTCATTTGAAAAACGTTTATAATAAATCTCAACTTTGGTTTCAATGGAACAACAAGTCTTTTGAGATTTATTATAATTGACGTATATACATTCTTAGATAAAAGAAATAAATTACACACATACACACACACACACACACACGAAAATAATAGTACAAATATTTTTTCTAATTCTCGTCTATTGAGAAGCATCTTAAGCATCTTTATATCTATGATTTGTCATAAAATATTTCACTATCTTTTTAAATGTCACACAATGTAATTATGGTAAGACAAGTATTGCATGATCAAAGACACAATAAAAGGTATTCAAATTCCTTCTTGTGTTAGCTCTTGTTGTGTTCTCTATTAAATATTATAATATAGGCTACCCTGTTTACTTCGAATGAAAAAGTATGTAATTAAAAAAATTAATCTTTTATTTATAAATCTAATAATTTCATACGGAGGATTATTTTATTAAATATAAAATTCTATGATCAACTCGGTGGGAATCAATATTAAATACATATACTGGCGAATAACGAATAACAATTTACAATTTCGTATTTTCACAGAAAGTGTATTAGCGTATCACGTATTAAAATATATGTTAAATATACATTTTTGGAAATAAATATAATTTAAACATATAAGACATATATTTTTTACATACGCTAATACATTTACAAATTTATGTTCAAAATCATTAATCATTATTCGTGAATATATCTTGCCAAATTCTAATGAAAAAATGCAATGCAAAATCAGCAATATTAAATATCTTGATGTATTCTTCTACATAGTTAGTTACGATTGAATGAATTTTAATCAGAATCATTAATTTTTTAAATAATTATTTTTTGTACAACTATTTTAAAAACAGCGACAAGCCCATATTTGTTCATATTTGATTTTTGCTTTGTAAATCTTGATTAATATACACATGTACACATGTACGTATTATATTCAGTCTGAAATTAACATTATTAAGTGCACAAAATATATATTATGATGGAAGAAAAAATACATATAATATTCAAAATCATATAGGATGCTTTCCAATTACAATATCCCTAGACACTTTCGTGCACACGGCGACACAAGTTAAGGTTGATTTATACTGGCCGTAAACTGTTAACTTATGCCGTAATCTATAAAAATTGACAGAAATACATATAATATTCAAAATCATATAGTGTCTAGATTCTTGAAAATTCATTCACGTCAAAATTTGAAATTCGATTTTTTTTATAAATAACAATAAAACGTTCATCGATGTGTAATGTAATAATTCAGACTCTTAAAATTGACATAGATTCTTAAAAATTAAAACCATTTACAATAGTTAGGAAGAATACAATATTTATAAGTATTTCAAAATATTAAGCGGAAATCGCTTCACATCGAGAAGCCTTCAGTCTATTTCACCAGAACTGCTATTACTAATCCAATTGTCCGTTATTGTCGACACAGTACTACACATCTGTACTCAGCCGAGGACTGTGTAGCCTTGTATTTTCTAGTGACATTCTAGTCGGGAGATTATAAATGAGGTTGGAGAATATGAATTTTCGTTTTTTTTTAAATGCAGTAAAGAACAGAAGGAAAAAGCAACGAAATGGACGATGACAATATTATTGAAGTAAGTAATTATTTGGTATCAATAAATGTTTTTTTTGTTATAAGTATATTTAACAAAATAATATATATTTTTTTTTTTATTTCTTTGTTATATTTTTTTGTTTTACATATTCATAACGTTAAAAGAAATAAAATCTAAAATATCTTTTGTCTCCTTAGTCGATCTTTTCGAAAATATTTTTAGATTATATGCATTATAATAAACAAATTTTTGTACAAATTTATAGAGTGCTCTGTTAATTTTTCATAAATTGTTCTTCTAGTTGAAATACACGGAAATGCACCACCATGGATTACAAAATATCAAGGTACGGGCATGTACTAAAAAATTAACCTTATACTCTATTCGAAATCGCTGTTCTAATTGAGTCATGCACAACGCTACACTTTGTGCATTCCTGTGTACGTTTGTGTCAAGATGTGTTCAGTAATTGGAAAGCACCCATAGTGTCTAGACTCTTGAAAATTCATTCACGTCAAAATTTGAAATTCGATATTTTTTTTATAAATAACAATAAAACGTTCATCGATGTGTAATGTAATAATTCAGACTCTTAAAATTGACATAGATTCTCAAAAATTAAAACCATTTATAATAGTTAGGAAGAATACAAAATTTATAAGTATTTCAAAATATTAAGCGGAAATCGCTTCACATCGAGAAGCCTTCAGTCTATTTCACCAGAACTGCTATTACTAGCAAGTACGGCCTCGTTAAATTTTAATTCCTTTTTACCCGCTTATAGAAGAATCGAACCATTTGACATCTTTCACGAAAGTTAATTTATGTCAAATATGGCAGTAGCGTGGAAGAAGCGCACTATCAAAATGTATCAGCAACGTCACCGGCTACTTGAGCAAAATCTGACAATTCTCCGTAACGTTACATCGTCGATCGGATACGTTGTTCAGGACATCTTCCGGCGAATGATGAAGGTTATCGATAATCTTGATCGGCTACTTGAGCAAAATCTGACAATTCTCCGTAACGTTACGTCGTCGATCGGATACGTTGTTCAGGACATCTTCCGGCGAATGATGAAGGTTATCACAATATTATTGAAGTAAGTAATTATTTGGTATCAATAAATGTTTTTTTTGTTATAAGTATATTTAACAAAATAATATATATTTTTTTTTTTATTTCTTTGTTATATTTTTTTGTTTTACATATTCATAACGTTAAAAGAAATAAAATCTAAAATATCTTTTGTCTCCTTAGTCGATCTTTTCGAAAATATTTTTAGATTATATGCATTATAATAAACAAATTTTTGTACAAATTTATAGAGTGCTCTGTTAATTTTTCATAAATTGTTCTTCTAGTTGAAATACACGGAAATGCACCACCATGGATTACAAAATATCAAGGTACGGGCATGTACTAAAAAATTAACCTTATACTCTATTCGAAATCGCTGTTCTAATTGAGTCATGCACAACGCTACACTTTGTGCATTCCTGTGTACGTTTGTGTCAAGATGTGTTCAGTAATTGGAAAGCACCCATAGTGTCTAGACTCTTGAAAATTCATTCACGTCAAAATTTGAAATTCGATATTTTTTTTATAAATAACAATAAAACGTTCATCGATGTGTAATGTAATAATTCAGACTCTTAAAATTGACATAGATTCTCAAAAATTAAAACCATTTATAATAGTTAGGAAGAATACAAAATTTATAAGTATTTCAAAATATTAAGCGGAAATCGCTTCACATCGAGAAGTCTTCAGTCTATTTCACCAGAACTGCTATTACTAGCAAGTACGGGCCTCGTTAAATTTTAATTCCTTTTTACCCGCTTATAGAAGAATCGAACCATTTGACATCTTTCACGAAAGTTAATTTATGTCAAATATGGCAGTAGCGTGGAAGAAGCGCACTATCAAAATGTATCAGCAACATCGCCGGCTATTACCTCTTTGAGCAAAATCCGACAATTCTCCATAACGTTACGTCGTCGATCGGATACGTTGTTCAGGACATCTTCCGGCGAATGATGAAGGTTATCGATAATCTTGCGAAGCTCGTTCAATTCCGTTATGGTGGCTCCAAATTTTAACTCCAAAGTAGATCTGCAAATAGTGCATTTCAATTAATAATTAATATTAAATTGTTACAATTCAGTTAAATTTATTAAACTTACTTTTCTTCTTTCAATTCCTGTATACACGTATCGTTGTCAAGCTGTATAATTCGTAATACTTTCAGAAGTTTAGTAACGAGATTATCCACTTCGATTACTTGATCAACAAGATCCACAGATGGACAGTAATCCACCAAAGGCATAGGACCATCGTTGGTCCCAGAATCAGATTCGTTTACAGAATCGCAATCGTCATCACCCTCGTCTTCCACCTACAAATTTTTTTTAACATGATTAATTATTATTACTTCATGTTTTGTAACTTTTATTTTCCAAATTTAATTTAGATACTTGCTTTACGACGATGCAAGATTGCCTGGGTGAGATTCGTGAGACTAGTACACTCATCGATGTATTTCGTCTTTCTCATATTATGCTCGTCCGACGTTTCGGAGAAACTCAGTGCTCTGCGGAGAGAATCACTGCTCGATACCATGTTATGCGAATATGTGTCTGGCAAAGGTACATCTTCCAAAACGCTTTCCATCATCAAACATGGCTCAGTTTCAAAATCAAGCAAGTCAGACGATGATTCCATACTTAGTTCTAGAAAATATAAATTGTATTTTTAATGGATTTGAATGTAATCTCTTTTTATTTCAACATTTTTTATTCTATTACCTTTGTAAATCTGTTTAGATGCATCTAGATTGGATTTTTTATCGAGATTGTTTCTCGCCGCGAAGGGATGCGTTGCGGCATTCCGAATAGCGCTGATCACTGCGGAAACGAAGGATCCACTCTTTGGGCTTGGCGTGCGTTCTTTCAAACTCTGTTTAGAGCTAACCGGACTGGACTCCACGCTACTGTTACTTCTGCTGTATGCTTCGTTATGATATATGACATCCTTTTTAAAAAAAATTACAATACATTTTATATAATGTGACTAAAGAAAATAATTCTTTAATTATTAAGCGTAGAAGAAAAATAAGCGGATAGAAACAATTAATAAAATATTAATTTTGTAATTTATTGTTATCTATTATATTTACAGGAAATAGATTATGTGATTATTGTTCATTCGTAT